CTACTAGAGCTAATCAGTGAATTTGGTAAAGTTGCAGGATACAAAATTAATGCACAGAAATCTCTTGCATTCATATACACTAATGATGAAAAATCTGAAAGAGAAATTAAGGAAACACTTCCATTTACCACTGCAACAAAAAGAATAAAATACCTAGGGATAAACCTACCTAAGGAGACAAAAGACCTGTATGCAGAAAACTATAAGACACTGAAGAAAGAAATTAAGGATGATACAAACAGATGGAGAGATATACCATGTTCTTGGATTGGAAGAATCAACATTGTGAAGATGACTATACTACCCAAAGCAATCTACAGATTCAATGCAATCCCTATCAAACTACCAATGGCATTTTTCCCAGAACTAGAATAAAAAGCTTCACAATTTGTATGGAGACACAAAAGACCCCAAATAGCCAAAGCAATCTTGAGGGAAAAAAAAAAATGGAGCTGGCGGAATCAGCACCCTGACATCAGACTCTACTACAAAGCCCCAGTAATTAAGTTAATATGGTACTAGCACAGAAACAGAAATATAGATCAGTGTAAAAGGATAGCAACCCCAGAGATAAACCCACGCACATATGGTCACCTTACCTTTGATAAAGGAGGCAAGAATATACAATGGAGAAAAGACAGCCTCTTCAATATGTGGTGCTGGGAAAACTGGACAGCTACAGGTAACAGTATGAAATTAGAATGCTCCCTAACACCATATACAAAAATAAACTCAAAATGGATTAAAGACCTGAAAAGTAAGGGCAGACACTCTAAAACTCTTAGAGGAAAACATAGGCAGAACAATCAATGACATAAATCACAGCAAGATCCTTTTTGACCTACCTCCTAGAGAAATGGAAATAAAAGCAAAAATAAACAAATGGGACCTAATGAAACTTAAAAGCTCTTTCACAGCAAAGGAAACCATAAACCAGTCCAAGAGACAACCCTCAGAATGGGAGAAAATATTTGCAAATGAAGCAACTGACAAAGGATTAATCTCCAAAATATACAAGCAGGTCATGCAGCTCAATATTAAAAAAACAAACAGGGGCTTCCCTGGTGGTGCAGTGGTTGAGAGTCCGCCCGCCAATGCAGGGGATGTGGGTTCGTGCCCCAGTCCGGGAAGATCCCACATGCCGCAGAGCAGCTGGGCCTGTGAGCCATGGCCGCTGAGCCTGCGCGTCCGGAGCCTGTGCTCCGCAAAGGGAGAGGCCACAACAGTGAGAGGCCCGTGTACCACAAAAAAACAAAACAAAACAAAAAAACAACCCAATCCAAAAAATGGGCAGAAGACCTAAATAGACATTTCTCCAAGAAGATATACAGATTGCCAATAAACACATGAAAGGATGCTCAACATCACTAATCATTAGAGAAATGCAAATCAAAACTGCAGTGAGGTATCACCTCACGCCGGTCAGAATGGCCATCATCAAGAAATCTACAAACAATAAATGCTAGAGAGGGTGTGGAGAAAAGGGAACCCTCTGTTGGAGGGAATGTAAATTGATACAGCCACTATGAGAACAGTATGGAGGTTCCTTAAAAAACTATAAATAGAACTACCATACGACCCAGCAATCCCACTCCTGGGCATATACCCCGAGAAAACCATAATTCAAAAAGAGACATGTACCACAAGATTCATTGCAGTACTGTTTACAATAGCCAGGACATGGAAGCAACCTAAGTGTCAATCAACAGATGAATGGATAAAGAAGATGTGGCACACATGTACAATGGAATTGTACTCAGCCATAAAAGGAAATGAAACTGAGTTATTTTTAGTGAGGGGGATGGACCTAGAGTGTGTCATACAGAATGAAGTAAGTCAGAAAAAGCAAACAAATACCGTATGCTAACACATACATATGGAATCTAAAAAAAAAAAGGTTCTGATGAACCTAGGAGCAGGACAGGAATAAAGATACAGATGTAGAGAATGGACTTGTGGACACAGGGAGGGGGAAGCATAAGCTGGGACGAAGTGAAAGCGTAGCATTGACATATATATACTACCAATGTTAAATAGCTAGTGGGAAGCAGCCACATAGCACAGGGAGATCAGCTCGGTGCTTTGTGACCACCTAGAGGGGTGGGATAGGGAGTCTGGGAGGGAGACGTAAGCGAGAGGGGATATGGGGATATATGTATACATATAGCTGATTCACTTTGTTATACAGTAGAATCTAACACAACATTGTAAAGCAATTATACTCCAATAAAGATGTAAAAAAATAAAATTTAAAAAAAGAATAAACTGCTGATAATGTGACAAAGATAAATTTCATGGGCACTATATTAAGTGAAAACACCAGACACAAGAGGGCATACTGTGTGGTTCTATTTCTCTGAACAGGAAAAACAGATTTATGGTGATAGAAGTCAGAATATTGGTTACCTCTGATGATGGGGCTTATTGACTGGGGTAGGGCCCAAGGGAAACTTCCGGGGAGATAAAATATTTTATATTTGATGTGGGTGGTATAGACATATATAAAATTTATTAAGGTATACACTAAAACTTATGAAATTTTACCTAATTTATGCCTCAATTAAAGAACTTTAAAACACAAAAATAGAATCATGTGAGTACAGGTTAAAATGGAGAATGGCCCCCTGGGGTGAAGCTCTGTAGAGAGAGCCAGACTCTGTCACTTACTACCTTGCATACCTCTGTAAACTCACCTCAACTTTCCAGGCCTCAGTTTCCTCATCTGTGAATTGGGGATAATAACCAGTACCTTCCTGAAAGTCTGTGAGGACTAAATAACCTAAAAGATACAAAGTTTAGGGTAGTAGCTACTATCTAGTAATAATAAGCACTAAATAATTATTTGCTAGTATGATGATGAATGGTTGAATATTCATTGCTAGGGAGAAAGATGGTCACTATAAGAATAAAAGGAACAATTATCTGGAAACTTATAAAATGTCAAAAACATTTTCATTTAATTCCACTTTTTCAAAATATATGAAACTTAAAATTGACAGAATTACAAGACTTATTCAGTAATCCATACTTATGGTGGGAGAGTTTAATGTAGCTTTCTCAGTACATGATAGATCAGAAACTGCTAAGGACTTAATGTTTGTGCTCCCCAAAATTCACATGCTGAAGCCTCAGCCCCAAGAGGACGGTATTAAGAGGTGGGGCCCTTGGGAGGTAACTAGGTCATGGGGATGTAGCCTTCATGAATGGGATCAGTGCCCTTATTTATATAGAGACCCCAGAGAACTCTCTTGCTCCCCTTCTGCCACATGAGGACACAGCGAGAATATGGCCATCTATGAACCAGGAAGTGGGCCCTCACCAGACGTCAAATCTACCAGCCTTGATCTTGGACTTCCAGCCTCCAGGACTGTGAGAAATAAATTTCTGTTGTTTATTAGTTACCCAGTCAACAGTATTTTTGTTATAGCAGCCTGAGCTAAGACAGAGACCAATATTTTAAAATTTGTAAAAGACTTTTAAACACAAATAATATGCTCCATCTAGTGAATATATGTAGAATACATTGATTTCAACTACTCACGAAGCATTTATAAAAATTGACCATATACTAAGTGCACCAGTTAGAGACTGCATTCAGCCATAATAAACCCATCCCTGCCTTCCCCCAGACTCCCCCCAAAAAAGACAATGTCATGTACCAGCAAGAGGTACATCTTATTCATGTAACAGAATGTCCAGAAATAAACAATCCAGGGCTGGTACAGCCATACAAGGACACCAACTGGGGAACCAGGATGGTTGTGACTTCTGGCCACACTCTCTTTAGCCTGTGGCTTTCACCCTCATGGTCACAGGATGGCTCCTCTAGCCCTGGACACGGTGTCTGCTTGTACAGGAGAAGGAGAGGGATCTGGCTAAATGAAACCACTCCTTTGCAACATCTTTCCCAGGACTCACACCCAGCAATGTCTCAAACTGGCCAGGACTGGAGGATGTGGCCTCGCCTGGCAGCAAGGACAGGAAGATGGAGGTGTTTTAATAGTGCACATTCCCTGATGGTGTTGTGGTTTGAATGACGCCCCCACAAAAGATATGTCCACCTGGAAACTATGGATGTGATCTGATTTGGAAAAGGGTCTTTGCAGATGTAATTAAAGATCTCGAGATGAGACCATCCTGGATATCTGGGTGGACCCTAAATCCAATGACAAGTGTCCTTATAAGAGACAGAAGAGGAGAAGACACAGACACACAGAGGAGAAGGCCATTTGAAAACAGAGGCAGAGATGGGAGAGATGCTGCCACAAGACAAGGAACACCTGGAGCCACCAAAAGATGGAAGAGGCAAGGAAGGAACCTCCCCTAGAGCATTTAGAGAGAGTGTGGTCCTGCAGACACCTTGATTTCAACTTCTGCCCTCCAGAACTCTGAGAGAATAAAATTCTGTTGTTTTAAGCCACACACACACACACAAAAATAGTGCACAGACCCAATCTGAACCAAAAAAAAACCTAAGTGCTTTTGTAAGCAAGAAGGGGCAATTTTGGTAGGCAACTAACAGGACGCGCCACACTAGACCTAAAAGCAAATCTCCACAAATACTTAACATTCAACAACATAAAGACCACACACCCTGCTAAGAGTGTAATTAAATTAGAAACCAACAACAAAAAGGCAACTAAAAAGAAACACCCATATATATATGCAGGAACTTTCCAGGATGACAGAAACAGTCTATATCCTGAATGGAGTATTGATTACATACAAGTATACATCTGTCAAACTCATCCAACTGTACACTTAAGATTTATGCATTTCACTACAATTATGCCTCTATAAAAATATACCCATGTACTTTTATTTAAAAACCTAATTCCATTTAACTCGTGTGTCAAAGAATAAGTGGTAAAAGAAACTAAGACAATATGGAGAATTAAACCAAAATGAAAATATTATACATCAAAACATGGGATGTCGCTTAACGAGTACTATGAGAGATGATCACAGCCTTGGATGTTTATGTTTTTACAAATTGGAAGTTAATCAGCATGGGGCCCACCGTATGCAAGAGACACTGATAAAGGCAGGCCGCCAGTCCTGACGTTTTCTCTCCTGGCGTGAGTCCTTTTATGCACGGTCAGTGAAGAGCTGTGCCTGAAGGCTTTCTCACACTGATTACATTCGTAGGGTCTCCCCGCAGTGTGGGTTCTCACATGTACGATAAGGTGTGAAGACTGGCCGAAGGCTCGCCCACACTCCTGACACGTGTAGGGCTTCTTGCCGGTGTGGGTCCTCAAGTGTTTCCTGAGGGATGAGGGCTCACTGAAGGCTCGCCCACACTCCTGACACGTGTAGGGTTTCTCTCCCGTGTGGGTCCGCATGTGACTCTTAAGGGTCGAGAGACGACTCAAGACCTGCCCGCAGGTGGTGCACTCATAAAGCTTCTCCCCTGTGTGGATCCTCTTATGTACGTTCAGGTGAGTGCTCGTTCGGAAGGGCTTCCCACACTGGTTACATTCATACGGTTTCTCTCTGGTGTGGGTCCGCAGGTGTGTCTTCAGCGATGAGTGTTCCCTGAAGGCTTTCCCGCACTGGGCACATTCAAAAGGCTTCTCTCCGGTGTGAGTTCTCACGTGGCTCCTCAGAGAGGACGGCTGGTTGAAAGCTTTCCCACAGTCCTTACATTCGTAGGGCTTCTCGCCCGTGTGGTTTCTCTGGTGCAAGATCAGGTTAAAGTTCCTCGTGAAGGTTTTCCCACACTGACTGCACTCGAAGGGTTTCTCTCCAGTGTGAGTTCTCATGTGCCGCCGCAGATTTGAGGAATACTTGAAGGCCTGCCTGCACTCCTGACACTCAAAGCACTTCTCCGCAGTGTGAGTCTTCTCGTGCCTGATGAGATCGGAGCTGTATCTGAACGATTTTTCACATTTGTTACATGCATAGGTTTTATCCCCGCTATGGATTTTCTCAGACACAATTAGGTGAGCGGTCTGGAAGAAGGGTTTTCCACTCTCTCGGCATTACCAGGGGTTCCCTCCTGCAGGAATTCTCTGGTACTGAAAAAGTGGTTTGGTGCTGTTAAAAGGTTTCCCTAGTACATTGCATTCATAGAGTTTTTCTCCAGTCTGAGGTTGCTCCTGTCAATTGAGGAAAATGGGAAGACCAGAGGCTTTATTGCATTCACAGATATTCTCCCCCAAGTGAACTGAGTGTAGGAAAGAGACATTCCTATAGCTGAAGATTTTACCATTTTAGTGTATGTATACCATTTCTACCCTGAGTTCCTTCAAGCAGATACTCTGCCACAAAGAGCTATCATTTTCATTACTTTCATGGGGCTTCTTAGATGTAGACTTTTTCTGTATTATGTAAGGCTAAATTAAGTTTTAAATGCTCTACATCTGTGTCAGATTTATGAAAATGGTTAGCTTTGGGAACTCTGTAAAGCCACATCTTGATCTACATTTAGAGTTTTCCCCCAATTCATGACATTCACAGACTCTCCCAAGAAACTGCTTTCTCCTAGGTGAGTACCACTTGCCTTGAATCTCTCTCTGAGTTTCTTGTGTTTCTAACCTACAGCAATCCCAGACATTTCCTACTGTAGAGGAACAAGAATAATCCCTTTATGCCTTACCCTTTTCGTGCCAATGGATGGAATCTCTGCAAAAATATCTTGGTTAGGAATTGAGTCTTGGGGTTGAAGTTGAGGTTCTGGAATGAATTAAGGAGGGGAAATATTAAGCGCACAGAGAAGGAAACTGTGGGATCAAGATGACAAAAAAAGCTAGGTATGTGCAGATTTTTTTTTTAATACTGATCCTAAATATGGGAAGAAACTATGAATAAGAGGAATGTATCAGAGAGTAAAGGAAAATTTTAAGGTGTTTGGCTATGTGAGGCGTCACGTAATCATAGGAACAAGGAACGGAAATAGTAGATAATTTACTAAGAAGGGATTCTATGAAGATTGGGACTGATGTTGAGAGAAAGTATTAGTAAGAACATACAGTGGGGAGGAACTGGATGAAATAGACACATGGAAGTGCTAAATGTGAAAAGGAGGTAGGATAAATCTTTCTATGAAGCCAAAGTAAAGGATTAGAGATAAAAAGGGAAGGGAAAG